TGAAATTTCCTTCACCTGGCCTGGATATCTGAACTTGTTTAAAATACTATCCTTTTACTAGCTGCTCATTCATCTCTGAGTTTCAGTTCCTCTAAGTAGTATATGTTTATTTTTTTCATTTTATCTGACTATCATCTATCTGTCTATCTATCTATCATCTATCTATCTATCTACCTACCTATCTATCATCTATTAATTAAAGTCTGTAGAGTTTAATTTTGCCCATAAATATCCTTCAGTTTGGATCCATCCACTGGAGCCTGGTTAACCTACCAAGAGTCAACCTTTAAAAGAGACTAACTCTCCCCTTCCCAGCAGTCATTGGTTTAATAGGTCCTCAGGTACTATTAGGGTTTCTTACCCATTTTTCCATTTCTATGCTGGAATTTTGTCTGGTTTGAGCTTATGTTGTACTTATGTATACCATCACCATTGCTATGAGCTCATTTGAGTAACTGCCCAGCTGTCCAGAAGACTGTTTCTGTCATCCACCACCTCTGCCTCTTACAATTTTTCTGCCATGCTTCTACAATGACCTTGGAGCTTGGAGGCAGAAGTTTGCTAAGGTGTCCAATTCATGGATAATCACTCTGCAGTCTCCTGTTCTCTGCACGTTGGCCAGTTGTGGGTTTCTGTGTTCATCACCATCTGCTGCATAAGGAAACTTCCCTGGTGAGAGTGAAGAGATGTGTTAATCTATGGGCATAATAGTAAGTCATTAGGAGTCACTTTAATAATATATCTGTTTAGCAGAATAATAGTATTAGCCTCTCCCCGTGCCTGCTATCAGTGTCAGGTATGGGTTCCGTCTCATGAAGCAGACCTTAAATCTAATTAAAAAGTGATTGGATACTCCCATAATATTTTTGCCACTATCACACCACTGGGCATATATTGCCAGGTCAGTTGTTGTAGCTCACAGGATTTGCAGCCGGGTAAGGTTGATGGTTGTGCTGAGTAGCTTCAGCTGTGAACTTGACACACCTGAGTAGAGGGAACCTCAACTGGGAAATTTCCTCCATTGGATTGGCCTATGGCCATGTCTGTGGGGCATTTTCTTGATTATTGATTATTGAGTGATGTGTGGTGTCACCCCTAGGCAGGTGGTCCTTGGTTGTATAAGAAAGCAGGCTGAGACAGTCCAGAAGGGAAAGCCAGTAAGCAGTGTTCCTCTATGGTTTGTGCTCCAGCCCCTGCCTCTAGGTTCCTGCCCTGAGTTCCTGCCGTGACTTTTCTTAGTGATGAATTATGACCTGGGAGATGTAAGATAAAATAAACGCTTTGCTTCCGATGTCATTTTTTGTCAGTGTTTTATCACAGAAAGTAACTAGGACAGCTTTATTTTTTCTTCTGGGACCATGCACCTTCCAGCACCATGAAAGCTAGCTGGTGGGGATGCGGCTCTGAAGTCAGCAGCAGCTTGTTTTCTCTTTGCATGCAGTGCCTTCAGCAATAGGATCTGACAGTCAAATTCTGGTGGGAAACCCAGAGCAGGAGCAAAAGTCAGCATTGCTTGAGGGTCTATGGGACCCCTGGTCAACATCTTCATCCCTGGCATTTGCTAGCCTATGCCTTTTAGTAGGGGCAGTGTCCCCTTGTTGTAAGGTAACTTCTTTTCATCTCTTTTTGTAAGGTATGTGTATATGCTTTAAGAAGTTTCCATAGTGGTCAATTTCCACATTGAAAATTTTTTTCTAAAGGCCTTTGGTGTGTTGGTTATCCCTCCCCACAGCCCGCCCTCTCATTCCCCACCCCATTTAACCCTTCCTGCTCCATTATTCCCCTTGGACATTTATTTGTTTCCTGGCCTCTCTGAATTTTCCAGTTGAAATGTGTATCTAAGAATTCAAAGCTAGCCTACAGCTATGAGAGGGAACATGTGACGTTCGTCTTTCTGGACCTGCATTACCTCCCTCCAGGATGATTGTTTCCGGTTCCGTCTATTTACCTGTGAATTTCATAATTTGGGGTTTAAAAATATTTTTTATTTTATGTGTATGAGTATATTGCCTGCATGTGTGTAAGTGCACCCATTTTGTGCAGTGCCCGTGGAGGTCAGAAGAGGGCACTGGATCCCCAAAACTGGAGTTATGGACAGTTGTTAGCTGCTGTGTGGATGCTGGGAATAGAACCTGGGTCCTCTGCAAGAGCAGCCAGTGCTCTTAACTGCTGAGCCAACTCTCCAGATGAATAATATCCCATTGTTTATATGTGCTCTGTTTTCCTTACCCGTCGTGTAGGTGGACATCTAGGTTGTTGCCATTTTCTGGCAATTATGAAGAGGGCAGCGGTGAGCAATGATGAACAAGTATCTCTAGGGTAGAATATGTTTTTTTTTGGTAAATGTCCAAGAGTAGTATGACTGGGTCATGTGGTAGACCAGTTTCTTGTTTTTGAGAAATTTCCACACTGGTTCCCACAGTGGCTGCCCCAGCCTGCACTCCACCAGCAGTGGGTAAGAGGCCCCTCTCCCCACATCCCCACCGGCAGTGGGTAAGAGGCCCCTCTCCCCACATACCAGCAGTGGATAAGAGGCCCCTCTCCCCACATCCCCACCAGCAGTGGGTAAGAGGCCCCTCTCCCCACATACCAGCAGTGGATAAGAGGCCCCTCTCCCCACATCCCCACCAGCAGTGGGTAAGAGGCCCCTCTCCCCACAGCCCCACCAGTACTGGTCCCTGTTTGCTTTTTGGACCTGAGCCCTTCTGAGTTGGGTGAGATGAAATCTCAAAGTGGTTTTAATTTGCATGACTAGCGTTGCTTACTGTCTTAAATATTTCTCAGCTATTTGCATTTCATGTTTTGAAAGCTCCTTGTTTAGCTCCTTGCCCCATTATTTTAGGTTTTTATTTTACTTATTTATTTTTATGTCTATGAGTGTTATGCCTGCATTTACATTAGTGGACCCATGTCCTATAGTGGCTATGGAGAGCAGGAGAGGGCGTTGGATCCTGTGGAACTACAGATGGCTGTTAAGCAGCCATGTGGGTGCTGGGATTTAAACCCAGGTCTTCTCCAAGAACAACCAGTGTTCTTAACCCCTGCATCACCTCTTCAGCCCCTAATTGGGTTTTTTATGTTTGGTTTTTGAGTTCTTTTCTTTGTGTATTCTATATATTAATTCTCTGTCAGAGGTCTAGCTGGTAAAGATTTCTTCTTATCATTCTGTAGGTTAGCTCTTCATTTGAATGATGGTGTTCTTTTCCTTTAGAAGATTTTTAGTTTCATGAGGTCCCATTGGTAGGAGTTTTGAGATTGCTGTGGTTTTAAAAGATGCATTTCCTTTATTTTTAAGAGTTAAAGATTTACTTTTCTTAATTTTAAGTTATTTTTATTATTATTTATGTATATGTGTCTGTGTGAGTGTATGGTCATATGTATGGGTGCTTGTGGAGGCCACAAGGGGGCAGTTGTAAGCCACCTGGAGTAGGTGTTGGAACTAAACTTGTGTCCTCTGTAAGAACAATAAGTGCTTTTAACCACTGAGTCATCACTCCAGCCTGTTTTATTTTTTAGATGATGTGTGTATGTGTATGCTGTGGATGGGTGTGTGTGCATGAGCTCAGTTGTCTGGAAGAGGGTATCAGATCCCTCAAAGCTGAAGTTATGGGCAGTTGTGAGCTGCCTGACCTGGGTGCTGGGAACCAAATGTGGGTCCTCTGCATGAGAAGCAAACGCTCTTAATTGCTGAGCCATCTTTCCAGCCCCCTGTTTTGCTTTCTTATTTCTTATTATTTTGAGTCTTAAAAGGAGCCCAGGAGCCTGAGAGATGGTCTGTCGAGCATCTTCAACGAGGCAAAGTTTTGCTTTTCTAAAAATGTATCAAGACTGTAGAAACCATTCCTAGTGAAATTCCAGAATTACACTTGAAAACATTCCTAGGGAATTTAGTATTAGGACAAAGTTGTTTGTGAGAGTATTTCTTGTAATAACTAAAAATTGACATAAATCTAAATATCTAGCAATACTTACCCCTAGGTACTATATGTTATAATCTTGCAATATTTTAATATGTAGTAGAATCATATTAAACCTTATACTGTAAACAAAACCTTAAACTTGCTCTCCTTGAACACACACACACACACACACACACACACACACGCGCGCGCACACACACGCACACACACACACACACGCGCGCACACACGCGCACACACACACACGCGCGTGCACACACACGCGCACACACACGCGCACACACGCACACACACACGCACACACGCGCACACACACACACACACGCGCGCACACACACGCGCACACACACAAACACACGCGCGCGCACACACACGCACACACGCGCGCACACACACGCGCACACACACAAACACACGCGCGCGCACACACACGCACACACGCGCGCACACACACGCACACACACGCACACACGCGCGCACACACACGCACACACGCGCGCACACACACGCGCACACACACACACACACACGCGCGCACACACGCGCACACACGCACTCAGACTCATAGTTTCTTGAATGCTGTCTACTTTGATGAATTTATAAGAAAGAATACAGGGTGAGGGACCCAGAGCTGGATTGGAAATCTGTCACTCACGCTCTCAACTGGCCATACACATGACCAGGTTGACCCAGCTGACACATGCAGGTTGACCCAGCTGACACATGCAGGTTGACCCAGCTGACACATGACCAGGTTGACCCAGCTGACACATGACCAGGTTGACCCAGCTGACACATGACCAGGTTGACCCAGCTGACACATGACCAGGTTGACCCAGCTGACACATGACCAGGTTGACCCAGCTGACACATGACCAGGTTGACCCAGCTGACACATGACCAGGTTGACCCAGCTGACACATGACCAGGTTGACCCAGCTGACACATGACCAGGTTGACCCAGCTGACACATGACCAGGTTGACCCAGCTGACGACTCATGACCAGGTTGACCCAACTGTTTCTAGCCTTCATTTCTCTGTATTTAAAAGGAGGTACGCACTATTTGATCCCTGAGATCTTTCCAACCCCAGGAATCTGGGAAGAGGCATTAATACAGCTGAAACCCAAAGGATCACCTTCAATAGGATCACAATAATGCTATCACACATCTCAAAGACAAGTTTCCCTGTGCTTTTCAGGGGTATTTTTCAGCTCAATACATCATGGACGACTTCAAGAGAGACCCTCTGTACATCTTGGACAACAATCACACTCACCTGCTGCTCGTGGACAATGGATGTCACGGACACCCCACGGTGGAAGCCAAGCTTCGGAATCAGCTGGAGAAGTACATCTCTGAACGCACTAGTCAAGGTCAGCATTTAGGAACTGGGACACCAGGCATGTGTCTGCCATCATCTGCCAACATCTGAGTGACACAGGTCCAGCCCTACTGACCAGGATCTTCACTTCCAAAGAGGAACTATTGTTTCTCCCCCTTTCCTGTTTCCTGGGAGTGCTTCTGCTGGAGCTCCTGACACGTGCCCTTCAGCCTGCAGAAGGCGGTGGCGGGTGCTGCCTCCTTATGCTTCTTGTCAGTACGGGAAACCTGCTGGTTTCTTCTATTGGCATTTAAGAACAAATGAAATCCGAAACGGAAAAATATGAATTTAAGAAGCAATGCAGTTGGCTAGGATAGAAATGTTAAGAACCCAACCCACTAGGTTGCAGTCAGAAGGCTATTGAGTATTTTGAATTCTTGTTCCTTCTGAGGAATTTAGAAAAGACTTAGTTAAAACATTGGCTTCTCTTTCAGAATTGGCTGTAAATAAATATGTGGTTATTAAATAAATAATTAAAAAACATTGGCTTCAGGGGAGAAAGCAGCAATAGAGTGGAAGTCTCTATCTAATATGGTAAGTGCTATGGATGGGCTTTATTGTCCTGTTGAAAAGATTTTGAGGAATGTCCTGCTTTGGAGTGGGATTGCCTTGGGATTTAGTGATAGTCTCTGCCTTTCAGAGACTCACATTGAAATATACATGAAAGAAGGTATTCACAGATGCCCTGAACTCCATTGAGAGAATGCCTCATTATGCAAATTTCTCATCCACTTAAGAAAGCAAATGAGTGCGAGAATTCTTACTATAAGAATAAACTTGAACCTAGTCTAATTAAAGCCAAAACTGTTAATCAAGCACAGACATTAACATTTTAAACAGCAGTGACAAATTACCCATGTAGTTATCACCCACAGCCTGGGCTCTCTGAGTAGAAACACTTGGCACATCTGTTCCTCAAGGTTGAGTCCAAAATAAACCTTGTTCTTTGTTTTACAGATTCCAACTATGGTGGGAAGATCCCCATTGTGTGCTTTGCTCAAGGAGGCGGAAGAGAAACTTTGAAAGTGAGTTCTGGTTTGTTGATAGACAAGCTTACTTAACTAATTCATATTTTTCCAGGCTTTTGGGTTTATCTGACTTAAAATTTTTTTTGAGCTTTTGTACATTTTATACAACAGTTCTTATTCAAATTAAGACCCCTCCCCTACCACCATGCCTCTCCATCCCAGGCCTCATGTATTCTGCCATACATGTTAAGTCCCACCTGATCAAGCATTTGACCCGGATGTCCTTCAGTACACATTCATCCACTGGAGTCTGTCCAGCCTGTGTAGAGATTTTAAGTAAGGTCTACTCTCCCTCACCCAGCAGTAATCAGACTCAAGAGTTTTCAGGCTATGGCTGGCCTGCCACATATTTCCCTTGAATCACTCTGGGCCCTTGTCTGATCGAGTCGGCATGGGTCTTGTGCCCGTTGCCACAAGTTCACATATACAAGCTTCCAGAAGCCTGAAAGCCTTTGCTTCCCTATGTTCGTGGACCAACCCTGGCTCTTACAATCTTTCTGCCCATTCTTTTGCAATGGTCCCCGAGTCATAGGTGGGTGAGGTTTAATGTAGGAGACCTATCTAAGGACACACACTCTGCACTCTTATTCTTTAAAACTTAGCCAGTGGTGGCCTTCTGTGTGCGTTGGACTGTGTTGTGTAAGGAAGCTTCACTGGTGAGAGTTGAGGGACGCACTGGTGTTCTCTCCACCCCCTGTTCCACTATGTTCTGTGAGCCTTAGTTGTAGAGGTTCCACTGTAGATATGTCACCTAGGGGTGGGTGTCTCTCAGATACATATTCTTTGTGTGTGGCCAGTTGTAGAACTCTACAGTAGCTTCCATCTGTTGCAAAAAGAAGGTCCTTTGATGAGTGGTATATGGCATTCTTGTCTATAAATCTAAGGATATGGTAAGAAATTTCATTTGCCTAGAGATATGACAGAGATAGGGTTCTCTCTAGGATCTATGATCTCTCCTGCCATGTACATTTGGGCATATTTACAGTGACACCCATGAGTTCCCTCACATTGAGAGGGCCTTCAGTTCAATTAGTTAGACAGCTGTTGATTACCACCACCACCCCAGATCACAGTGCCACTGCTGCACCAATAGAGGTAGTTTGCTGTGCCAGTTATTGTGGTTATTCAGCTTTAGGACTGGGCTGGAGCACTGATTGATTTTCTCCCTTAGCAGCTTGCACAGTGTCCTCAGGGACAAGGCTTCCAACTTGGTTCCTGCTCCATTGCTCCAAGTCCTGTGTGTGAATTATGCCCTGTCTTCAGCAGTAGGGTCTTACCTTCAAGTTCTGGGAGATTTCCCAGATTTTATCTGACTTTTAAATTAGAGTACAAAGTAATGGGTTAGTTCACAAAAGACTTACGGCATTCCTACGTGGACAGCATTGCTCTTCACCCAAGTTTACTCTGTCCCCGCTTGTTCCTTCCCCACTTTCAGTCAGTTTACTTTCCCCACAGTCTTTCCTTCTTCCTTTGCGTCATGTGTGTGTTCATGTACGTATGTGTGTAAAATCTAGATTGTGCTGCATATGGTAGTGCACGCCTTTAGTCCCAGCACTCAGGAGGGAGAGGCAGGCAGATCTCCGTGAGATTGGGGCCAGTCTGGTCCACATAGTGAGTTTCAGGCCACTGGGGCTACAAGGGGATCCTGTATCAACAAACAAACAAAACAATTCCCCCCACAAACCACCAAAATCTAGGTTATGCATGTAAGAGAAAATGTGACATTTGTCTGAGTCTGACTTATGTTGTTCAACAAGATTATCTCCAGTTTCTTCCAGTTTCCTACAAATGACATAGTTTCATTCTTCTTTATGGCTGAATAAAATTCCCTTGTGTATGTATGTACAATATTTTATCCATCCATCTATTGACGGACATTTAGTTTGTTCACAGCTTAACTACTGGGATAGTGCCACAACAAGTACAGCTGTGCAGGTGTCTGTTGGATGCTGATTTAGGTTCATTGCTGTTATACTCATGGGTATAACTGGGTCATATGGTAGTTCTATTTTTAATTTTTTTGAGGAGCCTCTGTGTTTGTTATTATAGTGACTGCATGAATTTAAATCCCAATCAGCAGTGTATAAAGGTTGCTTTTCCTCTGCACCCTTACCAGCATTTGGGGGTTTTGTTTTGTGATGATAGTCGATTTGACCTGGGGTGAGACGTGTACTCAAGGTAGTTTTGATTTGTATTTTCCTGAAGGCTATGGATGTTGAACATGATTTTATAGATTTTTAAACCATTTTTGCTTGTTCTGAGGGCCATCTATTGAATTCATCTGCCCATTTGTTGACTGTATGGTTTGGGGTTTTGGTACTTAATTTGTTGAGTTTATAGACTCTGTATAGTCATGCCCTGTTGGCTATATTCCCAGAAAAGATTTTTCTCCCATTTTGTAAGCTTGTTCTTCACTTTGTCATTGTTTCTTTGCTGTGTAGAAGCCTTTAATTTCATGCAACTCCATTTCTCAATTCCTGCTACTATTAGCTTACCTATTGAAGTCCTTTTTAGAAATGACTTGTGTACACTATATTCTGAAGTGTTTCATCTGTTCTTGGGAAACCTTTTTTAAGGTCAAAGGTGAGAGATACAGATCTTCTTCCATTCTTGTACATGTGAATGTCTAGTTTGCACATCTTTGTTGGAAATCAGGTGGTTATAGCTGTGTGGGTTTGTTTCTGGGCCCTCTATTAATTGTCCATTAATCTCCGTGTCTGATTTTATGCTGATGTCATGCTGTTTTTCTTACTATAGAATAACTATCTATTGAGGAGAGTAGGGCATTAAAGTTGACTACTGTTACTGTCTATGGACCTATCTGTCCTTTAGGTCCAATAGTGTTTGCCTTATGAAATTGTGTGCCCCATTGTTTGGTGCATAGGTATTTATAATTCTGTTTTCGTGATGGGTTGCTTTTTTATCTCTTTCTACTAATTTTGGCTTGAAATCTACTTGATCAGATGTAACTATATCCACCCTGACTCCAGCTTTCATTGGCTTAGAATGTTCACTACCATCCGCTTGCCTTCAGTCTGCGCATGTCTTTGCTGGTGATGTGTGTTTCCTGCAGGCAACAAAGAATTGGGATTTTTAAAAAATCAGGCAGTTTGTCTCTTTTAAGTAGAGAGTGAATAACATTTACATTTGAGTTATTGTTAGGAAGGATTTGCTGGCTCCTGTCATTTTCTTGGTTGCTTTCCTGGTTCAGCTGGATATTGGTTTTTT